ATGAAATTGGTCGAAGACCCGTACTCAGGAAATAAAATAACAACATAAAACGCTCTCTGAGTTTCCAGCGATATACATACCCTTTTCTAGATATATACCTAATAATAATAAGCGAACGAACGAATGTATTCCTTCCACTCGTGAGCTCATTTACCATTGTCACAAATAGTAAATGTCCAGGCCTTGTGACCCTGGATGGGCACTTAAAAGGAAAGAATACACACACACAAAGGTTTATTTATTCAACTATTACAAGAGAACGATTGAACAACGGCGCATGAACGAACGTCCAAAGTGAATGCCCCTTGTTAGCCACCTACCAAATTATCATTAGCATAACAATATGTCTCACACAACTCATTTCCTTGTCGTCATATCATAACAAACCATATCAGGAAATATGAATATCAATTACAAACCTTTAGTCAAATCCATGACCTTCAGGAATATTTACCTACAACTGTAGGATTTAAGTGCAAAGCACCAAAATAATAATATGAAATTGGTCGAAGACCCGTACTCAGGAAATAAAATAACAACAAAACGCAAAAATATTGTTATGCTAATGATAATTTGGTAGGTGGCTAACAAGGGGCATTCACTTTGGACGTTCGTTCGTGCGCAGTTGTTCAATCGTTCTCTTGTAATAGTTGAATAAATAAACCTTTGTGTGTGTGTATTCTTTCCTTTTAAGTGCCCATCCAGGGTCACAAGGCCTGGACATTTACTATTTGTGACAATGGTAAATGAGCTCACGAGTGGAAGGAATACATTCGTTCGTTCGCTTATTATTATTAGGTATATATCTAGAAAAGGGTATGTATATCGCTGGAAACTCAGAGAGCGTTTTATGTTGTTACTTGATATACTGTTTACTGCATAAATTCCATATGTATATTAAGTAATCATGATCGTTTCTACAAAAGTACCATTCTTAGAATCGGAACACACGGATCGAAACCAGTACACCAATCGAGATATACATTTATACAACAAATTTTCAAATAAACAAGCGCGATAATACACCATCATGGGGCACTAATTAGTCTATGTAGAAATGCAATAATCCACCAAAGGTCCAAGAGCAAGAACAATGTTAATGAAACACTTTATACATCTCGCTACATATGGTATATATTGCCAATCCATGAATACAAATATATCCCACGATTCCAGTACATTTAAAATTTTGTATCCAACTTGGTGTTGGTAGGCCTATCTCTGTCTATTTAACTGTGCTCTGTCTGAATAAATTTGAAGGAGTATATAGCAGACTATGTTAAACGAAGTTACTCCGAAAGGTTCGATGTTTCGCATTCTCTCTAAGAAAGAAATCTACTGAACTTTTCTTGAACAGAAATATTTCACGTACTGAATGTCTTTTGGTATAGAGTGGGAGAAGATAATGCTTGATTAATTAAAGTCAAGAATGCTCGAGTACGGGAGGAGATCATGCAGTACTTCCAACCACAATCACTGACATGCGATACAATCAATCTACGGCTACGCTCTTTCATCTTTATAAAGCCAACTGCATGGTTCATCCAACACTGTACATATCTATGGCTATATTCAGTAGTATATAGTATTGTAGATATATTAGCAAAAGTGTCGACGGCAAAAATATAAAAACTGCAGTTACCATTGCCAGCGCGTTGCACTGTATTCTAGACATAGACCTTACGATATAGAACGCGACAAATCCGCCAAAACAACCACTCATTCAAAATTGTAAATTTGGGTTGAATTTAATACAGTTTGAGATAAGTCCGCAAGTATGGAAAAGTAATTTGAAACCTTTGCCAATATTCATATATTCGTGTTCTGCCTTATTAATTTCTTTTGAAATCAATTGTTTCTAAGGTCTGTGATTGGCCCGAACACGAATATATGAATATTGCCCCCCCCCCCCAATTATCGAGTTTGCTACGCCACTGGTTTGAAAGGCTTGAAATGGTCGGTCGGCCAACACAAAATAGAGACGATACGATTGGCTAAATCTGATTGGTGTAAGCAAATATCTAATGTGCATAGAGTGGGTATAAAAGCAACTGCTCGATACAAATACGGCAGTCCAACACAGAACTGAAAGAAAGAAGACCTTGGGTGATCACATTGGCTGTCGCGTTCAAATATATACTGTCGATTAAAAAATTCAACCAGAAATGGCAGAATTCACAAGCGATCATTCATTGGAACCAGACGCAATAAAAGAAGAGCAGACGGCTATTCAAAATGACATAAAAACAATTTTCAAGGAGCTAATTTTTTTGAAGAAAAGAGTGGCAAACTTAGAAACACAGCTTTTGCGGGAATCTTGTGCTTTGTGTAACGAAAACCTGTGTGATGTACCAGATCCACATGCTGTACTTCAACCAACACCAGAACTTTGAATTTTGCAGTCATTATTGAAATCTGGCAACCGAAATGAATATTAAAATTTTAAAAGATGCGGCATTACATACATGTATACAAGACAAGCACCCTGATAATGGGCAAAAGTGTAGAAATTAGAAAATTGAAAACTGGTTTAATTAACATGATGGCATATTTCTTCATTCATCTGGGCTATAGTCACTGTGGTGTTTATGTAGGTTTAATTTAACACACCAGCGGAGTGGCCATGTACTAAACAACTGTATAAATACTTATATTATTATTATAGTATAATGTATATTAGCCAATATTTCATTACCAACCTCGTACCCAGGGTCTTTCCTCTCGGGGAGAAAAGACCCTGGTAGACGCTGGTCACGTGATCTGCTAATTTCCTAGTTATTCATCTTGGATTTCTTTACGACAATCATACAAAATGCAAATTATAATTAAATTATAAAAATCATCCGGAAATTAGCAGATCACGTGACCAGCGTCTACCAGGGTCTTTTCTCCCCAAGAGGAAAGACCCTGGGTACGAGGTTGTTTCATTACAGACGAAGGTCCTGTGCTCGAAGTGTCAACCTTTTTGTTATATTTTTCAGATAGTTTGATGGCATGTAATCTTTCAAGCATATATATTTGTAGCTATGTCATATTGTGTACTTTCTATCTACAGGGTGTCTAAAAAAACGCTATGGGCTGTCGTGCATCATAAACTTAAACTAAACAATTCAATTTTTACATTGGACGAAAGAGCTGTTATTTAGCTTTTCTATGATACCTTTTTTAAATCGTAACGGTGAGAAATAGCCACATATTCGTCAAATAAAAATTGCCGGTCGAAATCACATTCTTCCACCGTTGGGAATTGAAAATACATTAATTATCCAAAGTTATAAATCAATCTGAAAACGACAAAAGCAACGCTAATCTGCTGCAAGCTATTTGTTTCGTAAAACTTTTGATTACAAATGTTCTCTGTTCAGTGGTTAATTGAACCATGTTTAATGACGTTTTTATTGTCTCACTAAGACGAAGATTGACGAGTAGAGCTCATTTTAGATAATTTAACATTCAATGCAGATTATTTATAGTTGACCTGCTACATGCACCACGGCACGAAAGTCTAGACATTTGTTGACGGCATTTCCAAGACTGCAATTACAGTATAGAGATATTTTTCTCTATGTAAAGGCCAATGAACACTATTTTGTACAGATACAAGATGTTTTGTATATTCTCTGGCAAAGAACCTTTCTTGAATAGCAAATATTTGATGGAATAATTGTACTAACCGATGCGAGCAATCAGCAGTGTCTGTTTTTGTGCCAAAAGAACGGCGAAGCTAGACATGTATATGAGCAAGAGCTAACGCTATGGAAACTTGATTTAAACCGTATATGATGTCCGAAGTATCTGCACATAATGTTGAAAGGAGACTTAAAATGATCATACCTGAGCACGTTTTTGATGCAGCTAGGCAAGGCATTTTTTAATACCATGGACTGGTGGGGCATTTGCCCCAATGGGCCCCTTCCTCTGCCCCACCACTGAAGAAACACTGCATGGGCATGAAATAGAAACTGATCTTTACTGAGATTCGGATAAAGTCGATATACCCCTCGCCTGAAAATATTCGTCCTTTAATATCAAGCGAGCAAGCTATATATAAGGTGTATCCTCAAGGTTAGCAATCATACCTTTCTCTTCTTCGATTTTTTTTGCCCATGCATTTGCCACTTCCACACGGTGTACACTATATATATATAGAGAGAGAGAGAGAAAAGTGTAGTCACTATAATCACTGCACGATTATTATACCAGACAAATTATTTAAGTCAATAGCTAAATTGGAAAGGAATTATCCTTTTGTCTATATGTGATTCTTCAAATATTCAATAGTAACATATGCCAGTAATAAAGATAGCGGCTTATAGATTCTACGAAACTGCGCTCGGTTTTAAAATTGACAAACGTTTTAACCCGCCATTTATCTAGAGATACATAGAGTTTATATGAAGTCTCAGATATATACGTGCTATATACAACTCAACAAAATCCTTCGCAAATGTGAAGTCTCGGACACTACGATATATCACTATTGTCTGTCCACGAAGATCTTAATGAACATGACATCATCCTGATGTATTGACGGTTATTCGGTCATTCGGACTTCGGACGTTGAATACTTGAACTTTGAGGATCTGAATTAAACGCATCAATCATGTGATCTCCATTGCCTTGATCCAAGAAAGGAAAAAGATGAAAGGTCCAGGTTTGAAGAGCATCGTAGTCGCCTTTCATCACAACGAAAAACAAAGACAAATGCAACCCTTTTCCAACACCACCTCCATTCATGTAAATTTTAGCATAAATTTTATACCCAAACTGAGCGCTGTAGAAAGGTGGACTGTTCAAGGCCGTCTTGAGCCAATTGACAGCAACTTGCCGTTTTCTCTGATAACTTCCATATTTCAAAGTAGAGTACCATTGTAACCGTGGATAGCTTGTTGTACACGCGGACCTCTTTGGAACGAGCTTATCAAGGTCGTAAAAATAAATAAATAAATAATTTTGTTCAGTGAACCTGCCTTATTATTAAATACGATACCCTAACCCTTTCTCACGCCGCCAGTTTTGGGTGGCATTTCAGCCGAAGTCTGCGAGATAAATCCACATAACAGCGGCTTTTTATAATTTTTTGGACGAATGATGGTAAATTTGCTTTGTAAATGGTTAGTTTATTTTGGAAAATTGCTTTTCACATTGTTTTAATTGTCTGCATTGGTTAACGAGAATTAGATGTCACCCAAAAATGGCGGATATTCATCCGTGAGAAAGGATAATTAGGCTAAATTTGTTGAGAATCTTATTAAACGATTTGATAGATTCCAGAAAAATAAATCTCAATAGTGTGCTGTCATTTTGGTGGTGAAATCCTATATATAACCTCGATAATTCATTTTTTGTGAGCAACTTTTGCTGGCTTGATATGCAAATTTTGTATACACAAGAATTATATATCTGTGCCTGTGGTTTATCGTAATTGTAAGCAGAGCGACGTCTTGCTGTAACTGGCATGGCAAGTTATAATTATTCATTTCTTTTCTCGATTATTAGGAAAACGAATTTCATTGCCTTCGTCGTTACGTTGCCGTCCTACATTGTATCAGGATTCGTATATTATCGTATTTTATTCGTATATAAAAATATTCAAATTGAAATTTTAAAAGGAAAATTTTTGTCAACAAGGGTCAAATCAAGTATGAATGAAATATGAAACCGTCTTGAGATCGAAGTTTAAAAAATATTTATCCCAATAATTTATGAAGGTCAAAGACAAATTCTGCACTATAATTGTTGTGCACTGTAAATATTTGGCAACCTCAGAATAGAAATGTGTGCAACAATGTGAACATATGTTTAGAGCCCTAGTAGAAAGAAACTGAGTTACATTCCCAAATATATTATAAACACACCATCACATTCCCAAATATATTATAAACACATCATGCACATTAAGGATTAAGGCATCAACTCAGCAGTCACTGTGGCACTATAAAAATGCAATAATCCACCAAGAGCAAGAACAAGACTGCAAACCCTGGCAGAGCACGTGGAGCGAGTAATGAAACACTTTATACACTCGCTATGTACACGGTATATATTTGGCAACCTATGAATCGAAATATATCAGACGATTCCAGAAAACGTTCGCCTACTTGAAAGATACCGCGTTACATTTTAATTGTTTTACTTGATGTTGGTATTTCTGTTTGAATAAAGTAATTTTAAAGCATATTATAGTGTACTAATTTGAGGTTTTTAGAATTTAACATGTATATACCGTTACTGTATTTGGCAGCACGCTCTATACAGCACCACAGTCTGAACATAAACTTGATCGACATGCAACATGCAACAAGAAATATATGCGACTATATTTGAAAGATACTACGTACTATATACGAGATTATGTTAGACGAAGCTACTCCGCGGAATGGTGCGACACCGGGCAAGATGAAAATTTGTATGATCGCTGTGGCCAAGGAACCTGTTTGTATTCGCGTTTTTCGTTGAATTTTTCGGCATGTCTGTGTCGAATCACTCGCGCAGTAGGCTGAGTAGCCTGTATTTAGCGTTACGTCATCTAGTAGTATAATTTAGCTGAGTTCCTTTCCTATATCACGCCTATATATTCATCGCTTATTCGTAAGTACATCTACCAATTTTAGGACGTTCTATTGTGCGCTGCATAAAATACTCTACAAAGTCGTCGTTCACATAAGAATGGCAGAATCCTAAACCGTACGCAAATTCGTCATCTAACTTACATCCTGAATAAAAGTGAGCGCGCGCGGTGTGATGGGAAAATTAAAATGCTCTTCCCATCACTCCTTGCGCGCTCACTTTTTCCTGAAGAGGTCATCGAAGGTGCTGGTGAAACCGGTTGGGTCAGGTATGAGACAGGTTTAGAGGTGGCGTGATGTTCAAAGTGCATGTTGCGTTGTGCGTTTGTGATTGGTCGTCGTAGTGCATAAGACACGTATTATCCCAAGAAACCAGCAAGATTGAGCGACTATGAACGACTAAAGAGCTGATTAAAAAGTAAAGAATGACTATGCAATGACTATCTATGCATGGGACTATGGATGACAAGAATGACTATGCAATGAATATCATCTGATGACTAAAATAGCGAAGCTCAAAAGCCAAGCGAAGCTCAAAAGCCAAGCGAAGCTCAAAAGCCAAGCGAAGCTCAAAAGCCAAGCGAAGCCCAAATGCCAAGCGAAGCCCAAAAGCCAAGCGAAGCCCAAAAGCCAAGCGAAGCCCAAAAGCCAAGCGAAGCTCGAAAGCCAAGCGAAGCTCAAAAGCCAAGCGAAGCTCAAAAGCTAAGCGAAGCTCAAAAGCTAAGCGAAGCTTAAAAGCTATGAAGCGAAGCTCAAAAGCTAAGCAAAGCTGGAAACCTATGAAGCGAAGCTCAAAAGCCAAGCGAAGCAAAGCTGGAAACCTATGAAGCGAAGCTCAAAAGCCAAGCGAAGCTCAAAAGCCAAGCGAAGCTCAAAAGCCAAGCGAATTTTGTTGTTTTGTTTTGTTGTTGAGCTAAGCAAAGCCAGTGACAGGGCTAAGCGAAGCGAGTGCTAAGCGAAGCGAGTACTAAGCGAAGAAAAATAAAATAAAATAGAAAGAATACTGTTGAGCTCGGCATTGAACGCGGACGAGGCGTTGTCTGATATGCATAAGTCCATACGACCAACAACGAAGGCATATGGCCACATATCGAAAAAAAAAGGCAACGACCGAATTACGTGATCTGCCATGTGGCTCCAGAAAACCCCCCCCAAGAATTTTTGTGTTTGTATTTTATTTTCGTATTTTTATGTGTTTCAAAAAACTTTTATTTTCCCAAACTTTTATTTCCAAACTTTTATTTTTTTATTTCCAAACTTTTTATTTCCAAACCTTTATTTTCAAATTTTTATTTTCGAATTTTTATTTTCAAACTTTTATTTTCAAAAATTTTATTTCCAAACTTTTATTTCCAAACCTTTATTTCCAAACTTTCATTTTCAAAGTTTTATTTTCAAACTTTATTTTCAAAAATTTTATTTCCAAACTTTTATTTCCCAAACTTTTATCTCCAAACTTTTATTTTCAAATTTTTATTTTCAAACTTTATTTTCAAAAATTTTATTTTTCAAACTTTTATTTCCAAACTTTTTATTTCCAAACCTTTATTTTCAAATTTTTGTTTTCGAATTTTTATTTTCAAACTTTTATTTTCAAAAATTTTATTTCCAAACTTTTATTTCCAAACATTTATTTCCAAACTTTTATTTCCAAACTTTTATTTTCAAAGTTTTATTTTCAAACTTTATTTTCAAAAATTTTATTTCCTAACTTTTATTTCCAAACCTTTATTTCCAAACTTTTATTTCCAAACTTTTATTTTCAAACTTTTATTTTCAAAAATTTTATTTCCAAACTTTTATTTCCAAACTTTTATTTCCAAACTTTTATTTTCAAAGTTTTATTTTCAAACTTTATTTTCAAAAATTTTATTTCCAAACTTTTATTTCCCAAACTTTTATCTCCAAACTTTCATTTTCAAATTTTTATTTTCAAACTTTATTTTCAAACATTTTATTTCCTAACTTTTATTTCCAAACCTTTATTTCCAAACTTTTATTTCCAAACTTTTATTTTCAAAGTTTTATTTTCAAACTTTATTTTCAAAAATTTTATTTCCAAAATTTTATTTCGAAACCTTTATTTCCAAACTTTTATTTTCAAATTTTTATTTTCGAACTTTATTTTCAAAAATTTTATTTCCAAACTTTTATTTCCAAACTTTTTTATTTCCAAACCTTTATTTTCAAATTTTTATTTTCAAATTTTTATTTTCAAAGTTTTATTTCCAAACTTTGAAAATAATCCCATCCTGTAGAGCATCCATTATATATATAATACCTGAACTATAATAAAGATTTATAATTTTACTACTACAAGACTGACAAACAAAAATATATATACAATTGTAGTTTGAAAGAAGCTGAGTTATCACTATACATTATATACGAGTATTCATATAATGATCACAAAGCATGTAGACTATAGTAAGGAGTGGAAACTTATAGAACGCTTAACATGAATGAAAATAAATTGAATATTAGTCAGTTTTGTGTGGTTTGTTAGCTTATTTGATATATTAAACTTGTATCAAAAAACTATATTATTAAACCAAAAATTATAGCCTCCATTTTCTTTAATATCTGATAGTGGCGTCCAGTGCAGGTCGAATTTGTTTCGCCTTGGAATTTGTTTCGCCTTGGAATTTTGTTTCAGCCAGAATCTGACTAACCAAGACATTAGAAACCTCAAAAACCGTGTAGGTGCAAGATCGGTAGATTATTAATGTACTGATCAAGGTCTATTTATAAGGAGACTTGGTAGCACGTTCAAATAAACTAAAATTCAATACGGACCATTAACATTGTATAGAGGTGGCATAAAAGAGACTGCATGCTCAATAGAAATACGGCATTCTAACACAGAGCTTGAAGATAGACGACCTTGGGTGATCACATTGGTTGTTCATATATATAGAACGTGTTACGCCTTGGAAGTTTGTTTCGCCTTGGAATTTTGTTTCAGGCAGAATCTGACTAACTAAGAAAGACATTAGAAATCTCAACAAACCGTGTAGGCGCAAGATCGGTAGATTATTAATGTACTGATCAAGGTCTATTTATAAGAAGACTTGGGTAGCACGCTAAGATTCAATACGGACGATTAACATTGTGTTGTAGTGGTATGGTATATAAAGGAGACTGCTCAATACAAATACGGCATTCCAACACAGAGCTTGAAGAAAGACGGACCTTGAGTGATCACATTGGCTATACGGAACGTGGATTAATTCCTCACCAGCATGGCATCATTGGAACACGACACAAGGCAAGACGAGCCGACGACTATTCAAATTGATATTACAAACATTTTTCAGGAGCTAGACTTTTTGAAGAAAAAAGTATTAAAGTTAGAAAGGCAACTTACGGAGACCCATCATTTATGCAAGGAAAACCAGCGTAATGTACGACGCCATCCTGTACATGCCGTAGTGCAACCACTACCTGAACTATAATTTCAGACTTTCAGCTGTTTACTACTACAAGACTGACAAACAAAAAATGGAACTGTAATTTGAAAGAAGCGGAGTTATCAGTACATTATATACGAGTATTCATAATGATGACAAAGCATGTAGACTATAGTAAAGAGTGCAGAAACTTATAGAAGGCTTAACATGAATGAAGATAAATTGAATATTAGTCAGTTTTGTGTGATGTGTTAGCTTATGTGATATATCAAACTTGTTGTATTAAAAAACTATATTATACTAAAAATCATGGCCTCTGTTTTCTTTAATATCTGAAAGTGGTGGTCCAGTGCAGGTCGAATTTGTTTCGCCTAGGAATTTGTTTCACCTAGGAATTTGTTTCACCTATAGGAATTTGTTTCACCTAGGAATTTGTTTCACCTAGGAATTTGTTTCAGGCAGAATCTGACTACCATGCAGCTAACCAAGAAAGACATCAGAAATATGAACAAACCGTGTAAGCGCAAGATAAGTAGATTATTAATGTACAGATCAAGGTCTTTTTATAAGGAGACTTGCATGGGTAGCACGTTCAAACAGACTAAAATTCAACTGATACGGACGACTAACATTGTGTTGTAGAGGTGGTATAAAAGAAACTGCCCAGTACAAATACAACATTAGAGAACACATAGAGCTTGAAGAAAGACTACCTTGGGTGATCACATTGGCTGGTGTGTCGAAATATACATTGTACAATAACGTTAATTAATTTCTCACCGGCATGGCAGAAGTTGAACAAGATTCATTGGAACACGACAGAAAACCAGAAGAGCAGAAGTCTATTCAAGGTGATATTACACACATTGTCCACGATCTTGATTTTTTGAAGAAAAAAGTATCAAAGTTGGAAAGGCAACTTATGGAGACCCGTGATTTAAGCAAGGAAAATCAGCGTAATGTGGATACACTACAGCTGCAGGTGCGTGGCATGGTAGAAGTGTAAAGCCACTACCTCAACTATAATTTCAAACATTCAAATACCTATGTGTTTACTATAACAGATCTGGCAACCAAAAATATAAGCAACTGTAGTTTGAAACATGATGAGTTACAGTACATTATATACGTCGAGTATTCATGATAAATATAGTGACAAAAGTTTAATAGACTATATTATAGAATATAGTGGAAACTTATAGAACGTTATATAGTCAGCTTTGTGCGGTGCATGTGTTACTTTTAAATTTGAACTTTGTTGTATGAAAAAAACTTTATATTAAACCAAAAATCATGGCCTTTTATTTTTTTAATCTGAAAGTAGCGGTCAAGTGCAGGTGTTATTTAATAACCTTTATAAAACATCGAAGTTTCGAGCAGGAAGTTAACGCTTTGGTCCACGCTAGAAAGTCTCGACGAACGGCTATATTCTGCATGATATCCTTCCAACTTGCTGCTTCTGATTTTCAACTTACTTCTTTCGCTTTTCTGATTCGTCTTCCAAGCTACAGTCTGAAACTATTGTTCTGATTCATCTGATTCCCATAGTTGTTCTATACGATCTTCAAGCCGTCTTTACCTCTATATATCAGCTATATACATGGTTAATCTCATGCACATGCATGAATTTATAGTGATCGAGCATTCGCGTGGATTTCTTTTTCTCATTCAGAAATTCTGCTCGAATGGCTTCTATATCTTAGCATTAAATTGCGGTTAAGAGAGAGTCGATAATACTCTCTGGCAATGTTTCGTTTGCCGAATTTCGTTCAAACTCTGTTCTCATTTGGCCAAGCTGCAATAATGAGAGTTTGACAATCTCATGGAAAGTTTCTCTTGCCAAATCTCATTCAACTCTTCTTCTCGTTTGGCCAAGTCATGAAGGTTGAGGCAACTTTCCTATAATATATGTTCGCTCGCGTAAGCTCCGATTCAGCTCTTGGTCTCGTTGTGTCAAACACTGCAAATCTCGCTATGTATATACGGTATATATTTGGCAACCTATATATATATGAATAGAAATATACCGCACGATTCCAGCAAAGAATACTCATCTGTAAAGACTAGAGTTAATAGAAATATACTGAGTTTCATTATAAAGCATATTATAGTCGGTTAAGTAGAGAGTTGCATATACTGTAGTCTAGAGAGCGATGCGAAAGAATAGTTTTTCGTGTTGGAAGTAGGAACACAAGTAACGCAATCAAAGTTAGCAAGCAAGGTTATCCTCAGGCCCGGTTAGTAATCAAAATATTCAAAGACGAGAACCTGAAGCGATAGTCATATCAGACTTCCGACCGTTGAAGCAAGGAACTTCGAGGGTCTGAATTAAACACATGATATGATCTCCATTGGCATTGCCTTGATCCATGCAACTTATAGCTTAATTGTCTTAATTTGATTTTTAAAGCCACGATTGGATCCCAATACTATAGTCGTCGTCAACTAGTCATGCTAGTCATTGACGTAGATCTATATTGTGAATCTATATTGTGAATCTGTATTTATGCATTGTAAGCAAATAAGTCGTTACTGATTTCCCTATCAATGTAAATAGTACCAAAAACACCAGAAAATTGATGGATAGTGATTCAACCATCTGAAAAGTACAAGCTTAACGATGCATAACCTATAATTAAGCTTTCACATATAACTTGACTTTTAATCAACAGGATGTTATAATCACGCTTATATTCGTGAGAATTATTTTGAAATCAAGTACATGTATATGAATAAAGATACTGGACTGAAGAACTATAATTTTACTCTTACATCCTTTCAACTTCTTCGATAAAATAAATAGTGTTTTAATTAAAGATGGACGGAATTTGATGATAAACAGCATGTGGCATATGCAGCGCGTGAGGGGAAACCCCTCTGGTTCTTAAATCTGTGGTTTATCTAGCATTGTACGCAGAGCAACGTGTTAAACTGGAATGGCGAGTTAATTATTCACTTCTTTTCTCAATTGTTATGAATTTCAATTGCTTTCGTCGTTACGTTGCCGTCCTACATTGTATCAGGATTCGTATATTATCCAAAAATATTCCAATTGAAATTTTAAAGATTTTTTGTCAACAAGGGTCGAATCAAGTATGAAATATGAAACCGTCTTCAGATCGAAGTTTAGAAAATATTCATCCCAACAATTTATGAAGGTCAATGACAAATTCTGCCCTATAATTGTTGTGCACTGTACATATTTGGCAACCTCTGAATAGAAATATGTGTAACAATGTGAACATATGTTTGGAGACCTAGTGCAGGAATTTTTTAAATAAATAATAATGCCTATTCATGACCCAAAAGAGTCACTGAAACCACCAAATGTGTGATCGTGATACGCTTATAATCGTGACCTTGTTATTTTGAACTTATCACAAGAAACCTTAGAAACGAACACCTAAGGGCTTATATTTTAAAAATGTAGGCAGTTGTATCTTTTGTGAACACTCGGGCAACACTGATGATTCTGAAAAAAAAAGAAAATACCTAGACTATAAACTGCCCAAGATCTTCCTTCTTGTGGAGAGTGCGAGGTTGCGTGATTTCACTTGGGACCATGCAATCAACATTTCTCGCGGCGGGGCGCATATAATTTTAAACACAATGACTTAACTTATCTGTGTCCACGTGTTGTATATGCACCAATCAGCGAATGCGCATTTTTGGCGCCGAATTAGAACACTGTGGTTACAACGAATACTAAAGAACGAAGCGATCAGGCTTGTCATCTTTCGCGCTCCGTTTGTTGTGGAGCACTCGTTTGTTGTGGAGAATTCGTATCTATTTCACAGGTAAGCGTTACTTATTTTGTTTGATATATACTAATATTTACACAAGGTTTCGCTGTCGCGGAATCTGAATATAGATGTACATTAATATATGTACAATATAACAGTATATGGTCTATATGTGCATTACAATGGTCTATATGTGCATTATATGTGAGTTCCTCTGGTTAGTAAATTGTACACGTATAAATGAACATGTTGCCGGCAAAGCGCATTGATCGAATGGTTTATGTACGCCGTCGTGCTGACATAAACAGAGTAATTTCAAATTTCGTGAGCCAACACTTAAATAATCCATAGATATCTTATATACACTAGATAGCGCATCTCTTTTAGTAAAATTGAAGCCAAGAATATTCCAGCGGTTACCCCCATTTGAATAGATGGCGGCCATGTTGGTCGTTCTCACTTGCTAATAAACGCTTAAAAACAACAATAACTTTCATCATTTGAATAGTTTAAAAACGTATTTGGAATAGTTAAGTTTCCTGTTTAAGAAATGTAGAAAACATGCGAATCTTCTCATTTCATGGGAACGACCTGAGACTGCAATCACAGCTTCAATTGTTGAATTGTAGAATAATTAGATGCACTATCTAGTGTATATACGATATCTATGGCCGGAGGTTCGATTCCTGTCATAGCCTGCGAACAGCCATTAGACCAAATAAATGTATAAAAATTTTACTCGAAATTTCCATCCATACAAATCCCTTCAACAATTGGTTATTTGATAAGTCAAATATCAATAGATCACATGTAAAACTGCTTTGATAGTTATTTCATCCAGGAAAGAAATCTGAAACTTTTACTAAAGCGGATGTTGTAAGAGGGTCCTGAAGGGGTAAAATGGGAACTGGGATTTGCTTATTTTTGGGTGGGAAAATGGGATTTCATGCACTGGGACTGGGATTCATCAGCATAAAAACAATAAAAATGGGAATGGATTAAGATTTGAGCAGGACAGCCACTGAGATGATGGGATCATTGTGCTCTGGGACAATGGGATTTTGTCAAATGTGGGCTGGGAAATGGAAATACGACCCCCTCCCCCCCTTCAGGACCCTCTTGTAATACCGCAAAAATACAGTGGGAGCCATTCTTTTGGGACACCATGTATAAGATTATTTTAAAATTAACTGTATACCCATCCCAACATATCATGTGTATGTGGTCCAAACTTTGAGCACTTGAAATTTTTAGTAAGGACAGACTGCGTCGAAAGATCCTTGACAAATGAAATATTTCCGATTCCAGCTTGCAGATACGGACATCCATTGTTCACATCAAATAGATTTCCAAATTTCGGTTGCGGATGTAATCGATAAAACCTACAGTAAAAAGAGGAAATTTTTTACCGTTATGCAATTTTCACAGCACTCGGGTTTTTCTCCTACTTGCAGGACTTTCCATATACGAAGGGTGGAAAGCAAATCAAATTTATAAAAGGGCATGCATCTTTAACTTTTTAGAAAGCGCATCAGTATTTTTTTTTGTTGTAGTGCTCATGTGATCACAAAATTGCTCATTGCAGAATACAAAGATAGAGTGTCCCCAATACCCTGTGCAGTTTTTATGCCAAGTGTTGATGGTTCGTTTTCTTGGTTACGTTTCCTGTATTGTTTGATATTGTTTCCTGCAACTTTCTCACTTTTTGTCGTTTTATTGCCGTTACTATTCTTAACTGATTACAGTAGTTTAGTTCAGAAAGTTTTAAGCAGGTTTTCCACTTCGCCCGTATCGTACCGAAACGTCCTGGTGAGCATGCGCAGATTGAAAATAAGTTTGTAAATCAACGTAAATCCCGGGTGTATTCGCGTATCAAAATGAAAAGTTCGTTGCAAGTCAATCAACCAATAAACCAATCAACATTTACGAAATTTTGAAATTTAAAAACGTTTTTTATACGTTTCGGTACGGTACGCTTGAAGTGGAAAACCGGCTTTATAGAAATATTTTTTCACCGGTCCGCACCAAAGTTTTCTTACCAGTCTGCCTTTGTTCCTTCAAAACCTTTATCAGTCGAAAATTGAACTCTAAAGTCCAGAACTTTGACATCACCAAGATCACTGGACCAATGCGGGGGTCCTTGAGGATCAACAGGGGTAGAATTAGATGGTACTGTCCATGATACAGGACTATCCATCATTCCCACCAACGCAAATCCACCGCCATCTGTATGTACGTCACACCAAATCTATTTTGCCCAAGGAAATGACAACTTAAATTCTTCACTCCAAACTAATTATTGTGCTGCATATGTGAATTACATAAATTTCTTGATGGCTTGTTATATTACAGGTGTATACAACCTTGATTGAGTGGTTAACATTTTTTATAACACTGAATGCTTGCAGACTGGATTCCCAAATGGCCAGCAAGCACTTGCATGGGCAAATGTTCGAAAATTGGAAGAAATCCCGAAGGTGGAAAAATGCGAATTCAACTGACCACTTTAAATCAGATCGCATTTGATCATTTTTTATCTTAAGAGCCTGTTCTTTATAAATACGAAAAAGAAAACCTATTGACGTATTAATTAAAGCACGACAACATGTTAAAGCTGGATGCCTTTTTTATATACCCTGTACTACGTTTCAGGAATATGTTATTTTTCTTCTCCAATACTTCTCAGTTTTATGACCGATTTCGCTAAGTCGAAGTTACGAATTCGAAGTCAACACACGAAAATTCGGCACACACCTTGGAACTCGGTGTCAACCGCGCGGAGTAAAACAATATAAAGGGACTGGAACTGGACGTCAATATCTGCCATCAGTCTTGCTCAGGGCCGCCGAGAGGGGGGCAGGGAGGGGGCAAATTTCCCCGGGCCCCCAGGTTGGGCCCCAGTCATTTTTTGGGTGAAATATTTCCGCACAAAGGGCAAGATATTTGTTTTTGGGCAAAGTACCGAAATTTCGTATGAAAAATTGAGGTAAAGTCACTTGAAAGCAATTACAACGCACTCGTCCGGAAAAATAGGGGCCCCTGAAAACGAATTTGCCCCGGGCCCCCGCCCATTCTCGTACCCAGAGCCCTTCTTACGCGCGGTGCGACGAGGGGCTCTGGCCAAATCCATAACCGGATACCATAAAAACATGGTAAGAAAACGATGTCCGGTGTTAGAACTTGCCAATCAGATGCCAGTTCGGATATGGATTTGGCCAGAGCCCCTCGTCGCACCGCGCGTAAGAAGGGCTCTGGGTACGAGAATGGGCCCCGCCAAGCTCTCGGCGGCCCAGCCTAGTCGCTAGGCCTCTTAGTACGCCTATTTCGCGTTTACGTCACGGAAATAAAAAACGTCCACAGAGGACTTGGGACTAGTCTGTCGGCCCTGGTCTTGCTTCACTTTTTGGACGCGAGTTATTAATTATTACTCCACATATATATAGAGCTCACTGGATCTAATTAATTAGCCTACTCAGTGAAATGAATATAGCTGTAACGCTACCTTTATTAAAGCCAAATCTAACCCCCAGCGCATGGCTCGCAGAAAAATTCTGTTTCAATGAACAATTATTACAAAAAACTAAAAGTAAAGTCTACGCAGAAGTTTTAATTACCTAAGCAAATGCATTAATAGAATTTTAAGCTGGTTATCAACAATAAATATTCATGTTGACAGATTGACCGCGTTCTTCGCATGCGTGAAAAGACTGGGACTGCTCTTCAAGTTTGGCTTCAAACTTCTGGTTGGAGGTAGCGGAGCTGGAACATGCTCATGATTATACCGCATTTTGGTATGTATATGAGCATGTTCATGAGCATACCAGTGGCGAAGCCAGCGGTCATGCAGGTCATGCAGTGCATGACTAAAAATTTCCCCCAAAAAGTTTAAAAATCAGTTCAATATAATTGTTTACAATAGAATTATACTTTATCTTTGCACTTCTACGCCTAAGTATTTTATTTATTATTTTGTTTACCCAAATCTATGGTCTTTAGGCGATATTCTTGCTAAATATTCTCGTATGTTATTGATTTTGGCTTTGTTACCTTGGCAACTGAGCGGTCCTGCATATTTTCACATGCATGACCGGTTGCGTAAGCGCGTGGAAAAAGATTGCGTGTGATTGCTGCGTGGTTTGCTCGCTGTGTGTTTTGGTCATGCACTTTCAAAATTTCATGACTAGCTGTATTATTTTATATTAGGTTTGTTGGTTTCTGATTGGCTTACGACGTTCGCGCACGCGCAATGCGGCTGTTTTTGACGCCTTGGTCATGCAATTTTCGATTTGCATGACTAAACGGGCAACACAACCTGATCACAGCCTCTTAGCTCGAAGCTTTCAGCCTGAATGAACACGTCTTCAGGTCATTCAAGCATGTCGACTTCTTCTTTACTCGAAGGTAACGATATTGTTTGGGAATTGGTGAAGAAACCATTTTCTGCTGAGCAGAATATTATTGTTTATAAGCAGAGACAAACGCCAGATCTTTCGACATGCCCGATCGGGAAGGTTTTCAAATGTCGTGGTATTCAAAGAAAGAATGGCTTAGCCAGTCAGGCTTAGGCTAAATAAGCTATTGCCTGTTGGTATTTAGTTATTGTTACATGTATTTTGTCTTGAATATTTAAGCCTTCAACCCGAGCATAGGCGTATAAAGCATCGAACGCTATTATATGAAATACAATGTCAATGTCGAGGTCAATGTAGTAAACAATGTAGTTCTATAAATAGCGCTGCAAAGCTTATACATTTCAACACGCAACACAAACATTTTAGCGATTGTGAGTTAGCAACATATTTGATATATACTTGTTTGTGAAACAAACAAAGAAATTTCAATATATATTGTTAAATTGTATTTACCATTTGGTACATACTCCCCGTGCGTTCGAAAATATCCAATATTGGCAATAGCCAATAATCGATATGAATGCAGAATTCGGCAATAAAATTGACAGTAAAACTTCTACGTCTTCTACTCAAACATATGATAATGCTTAATTCATTTCTGTATGTAATATTGTAATAATTGGGTGATTGATTTTAAATTAAGGAAATTGATCAAGGCTCATGCGTTATATTTTCCAAGTCGACGTCCTGCATATTATACCTATATTCTAGATTACACTGACTGTATTAGCAGCTATTTGTCATTATGTCCCGTTACTATATACTAACGGGCCGTTAGTATATGTGGATAAAATTGTATCTAGTTCTGTAAATGTGAAAACTCTTCAGACTTCACGTTGGAATACTACAAGGGGATAGCAATTAGGCTATACAGACTATGATAATACAGAACATGCATGTAATATTTTCTGATCGAAAAGAAATGCACAATTGCCGGTATGACTATAATTAGCGGAACTGCAGACACAGATTTCCTATTTTTGTGTCGATCTTCATTATTGTTGTCTGAAATATGCCAAAATATCCACATATTTTCCCGTCATTAGATCAAGCTATTTTCTGAAATTTGATGCTCAGATTGCTGCAAATGGCGTTTCTGGGGTATATATTTAAAAAAATTTTCCGGGGGGGCATGCCCCCGGACCCCCCTAGGATGTCTCACGCCTTCGGCGCTCGTTTGCATGACCACTCACACGACGCTGGCTTCGCCACTGGTTGAATTTTACCTTAAATTGAAGCTTATATTACGTATAATATCATACCTAACATATATATGTTGGGAAATTGATAATTTTGTAATTAAATGTGATATTTTTAGGCGATTTTTCATTTATAAGAATATTCTTAAAAAATTATCGTGTTACCATGACAACTACTTTAGATACTTCATGTTCGGAAAGTACAATGGTTTTCAGTGGCGTAACGTTATATCAGGGGGCCCCCGGTTCAAAATTTTCGAAGGCCCCCTAGTAGAAGTGCCAAAGGCACGAGTCGAGCGCCGTATATGCACGAATTTTCTAGGGGGTCCAGGGCATGCTCATCCGGAAAATTTTTGAATTTAGA